GTTTTCAGTTCTGTCTCAGGGGTAATTTTTCCACGAGTAGTTGTAAATTAGCTGTGTCCATGGGAGGAGGTGAGTTCCGAGTCTGCTTACGCCGCCATCTTGACTCCTCTCCTCGGTTAGAACATTTAAAATCAACTCTCTTAGCAAATTTTAAGTATACAACACAGTATTATTAACTATAGTCACCTTGCTGTACATTAGATTCCCATAACTAATTCATCTTATAACTGAAAGTTTGTACCCTTGGACCAACATATCGCCATTTCCTCCTCCCCCAGCCTATTTCTACCTCTGTTTATATAAGTGTTACTATTTTAGATTCTACATATAAGTGAAATCATACAGTATCTGTCTTTCTTGGTCTGACTTATCTCACCATGGGTAATGTCCTCTAGGTCCATCCATGTTGTTCCCAATGGCAGGATCTCCTTCTTTCTCATGGCTGAATAGTATTCCACTGTGTATATATCCCACATTTTTATCCATTCATCCATCCATGGACACTTAGGTTGTTTCCATATCTTGGTTATTCTGAATGATGCTGCAGTGAAGATGGGGTACAGATGTGTCTTTGAGATCCTGTTTTCATTTCCTTTGGATATATGTCCACAAGTGGGATTGCTGAATCATATGGTAGTTCTATTATTAATTTTTTGAGGAAAATTAGGAGAAAATTGAGAAAATTGGTCTTGCATTTTCCATAGAGCATCAAATTTAGGGATGTCAGCAGAAACTTTACAAATCTATAGATTTTAGTGAAACATTTTGGCTCTTTTTAAGTCTAAAGAGAGTTCTCTTCTAAGGAGAAAAATAAAGGAACTTCTTCTCCCACCTGTTGTGAAAAAGAGACATCTGAGGCAGCATAGGAAGAGATGGCCAGAATAAAGAAACAAACCAAACAACCAGAAAGCTCCACCATCCGTGCAGTGCAGTCCAGCCCGGCTGGTCAGAATGCCTTGCTTCCAGCCAGCTGTCCTCTAGGTGGGGCTAGAAGCTAAATTTTTGCAAGTGTCAACTCATCTGCGGAGAAAATCCTTTCCAAAGCTCTCCGCCCCATTTAAAACTCCAAATATCCCAGTGTCCCTTAACCTAAGGGTTTCCAAAAGCCACCAATGAAGCTAAAATGACAGCAAACCCACAATAGCATTGGAAACACTTCAAACCTTGTGAAGAGCAGGTAGAGAAGAGAACTAGCAGTAGCTGTGAACTCCCCCTCATAGGACAGAGCTTATTTACGCTCTGTCCTTATATATGAGCTTATTTACGCACAACCAGCCGACGAGCGGGTTCTTAGGGGGCACACTGAGATGGGGTTGATGAGTGAATTCTTGAATGTCATTTTATAGGAAGACAGGTCCTGTAGATTTTTTGCTTCTGAGTAGCAACGGTAAGTAACAAAACAATGCACAGCATTGATAACAAGACCGTGACTTAGATTCTATTTGAGTTAATGAGTGTTTCTACAGGAACAAGTCAGCTAAGACAATGTTACCATCTTTATCCGGTACAGTGTATCCATGGGGTGGGAGATGGGCATCATTTGGATCAGCTAAGTTACTGTAACATTCAGCTCTTGTAAGAGCAATGTGTTCCGCAAGCAAAGCTGAGTTTTCTGGATTCCCTTCTCTGTCCACAGGACGTGGACCCTTTGTGGAACCCCCGAGTACCTGGCCCCTGAAGTCATCCAGAGCAAAGGCCACGGGAGAGCCGTGGACTGGTGGGCGCTCGGCATCCTGATATTCGAGATGCTCTCAGGGTGAGTAGGGCTTCCGTGGAGAATCTGCAGTCACTCCCCAGCACTTCCCTCCCCTGCTGTCTTGACTCGCCTCTGTTCACCCCTAGGATGTGCATGCAGGTTGCAAATACTTGGGGTGTGGTCCCAGGGCAATGCAAATTGAGCTGGCTTTCATAAGAGTGAAAACACAGGCTTCTTGCAGAAACAACAGTGCATGTCTGCAGAGATCCTTACCCTGTCTCTAAATGTCCTTGTCTTCCTCGAATATAATATTAGTCTGCTGCACGGACTCTTTTTGGAGTAATGCGCAGAGCTGAATACTGTACGTGTTGCATAAAGAAAAATAAATCAAATACGTTTTAGGATGTTATGAACGAGCAGTGTGCCAGGAAGAAAAGAGTGTGTGCTTTCCTGAAATCCCAAACTTGCATTGGAGGAAATTTGGAAGGTCAGATCTTCTCCACGTCCAGATACTAAAGAGGTCGCCCATTGGTCAAGGTGTTGTCATGTTAAATATTCAAGTCTGGCTGATGCATGAGACAGGTCTGATGTTCCCCTCACAGAAATGTAAAGCAAACATCCCCCTCTTAGAAATCTTGGGGTTGGAGTTCATCCTTGTCCTATTATTATGATCTTCCATATGTGTTCTCTGGTCTGGAATTTCCTGAGGTGATGAAGCAGTATGACAATTTACCAATGACAGCCTCTAGAAAGAAGGGAGCTATGTATGTGTGCACCCACGAGGAACTATTCTTCCCTTTAGGATCTTCTCTCTGATGGTGTGGCTGACAGGCAGCTGGCCGCGAGGTGCCAGGACAGCTGCCAGGGGCCCTCGGGCGTGCTGCCTCTGCCTCCTTCCACCCTCTCTCCTCTTCCCTTTGGTTGTCTTTCTTTGGCTTGTGTGTTTCCTGCTCGTGAGTCTTGCACACACTCTGAGTTGACTCCCAGTTACAGCAGAAGCTGGACCCTGTTCCACACCTGTCTGATTGCCTGCAAGGCAAGTCCAGAGCTTTTGACCCAGAAACCTTCCCTGATTTCAGGTGGAAAGAAAGATGGAAAGAGGCATTTTTCTGCATTCAGAGTGTGGCCAGCCAGAGTAGAATGTATGAAAACCTCTGTTTATGTGTTTGTCTGTCATCCATCTATCTATCCATCTATCTATTATCTCTATCATCTTTCTATCTACTTACCTATCATCTTTCTATGCACTTATCTGTCATTTATATCTATCCTCTATCTGTCATCTATCAATCTATCATCTATATCTATCTATCTCTATCTGTTTATCATCTATCATCCATCTATCTATGATTTATCCATCTGTTATCTCTATTTATCTGTTATCAATCAATCTGTGTATTATCTATCATCTATCTGTATCCATCTATCAATCTATCGTCTGTTTATCTATTCTTTTGAATTTTCTGTTACTCTTTACTCAGACGTCTCAAGCAATTCACATAGAATCAGATTTCTTAATATACACCCCAGCCCAGGAAGTCCTAAGCAAGGCAAAGTTTAAAATAAATTACACATAGAGTCAATCCATAACTATTTATGCACCACAGTGATCAGCTTGTGCTCAGATGCCAGCAGCACATTTTCTTTCCGTAATATTATTTGAGCACAAGAGGGCAGCATTGCCTGAGGAGAATTGAATCCCCGCATCCGGTGATTTTAAATAGAGTGAGGTTCATGTGTCATGTGCTTTCTCTGTTTTATTAGGGTAGAATAGAATATTATAGAATAGAATAATACAGAATATTATTAGTAAATACAATATTAGAATATAATATACTATTAGAACATAATATTGATAGGAAATGATAGAAAATTATTAGAATAGACTAGAGTTAGAATGTAATATTAGGATATATTAGGATTATTATATTAGAATTATTATTTATAAATAATTATTGGGATTATTTAAATATTATTAGAATATAACATGAGAATATATTAGAATATTAGAATGCAATAGAATAGAAAATAATATAATTAGAATCTGGTGTATTATTAGGCTCTATTATTAGAATAATTGATGATAAATAATGAATACCCTCTCCTAACCCAAAGCACAGTAATCTGACCTTTGCATCTCATATGATGCAGTGAGCTATTTGTTCACGGTGAGCACATTTCCACCTTCCACATTTGCAGCTGGAGACAGTCACGGTTTTCTGGGTGGGTTTCTTGAGAGAGATCAGTCCTGGCACACGCTGCAAACCTGGCCGACTGCTCCTGGGCATTGCTTGGCTCTCCCTGCGGTCTGGCCAGCCTCAGCTCTCATCTGGTCCACTCCTGAGTTTCCTCACTGTCTCCTCCAGCTGCACCCTCTCCTGCCCGTGGCACCTTTTCCTGGAAGCAGCTGGAGGGGTCCTGTACCCACACCAGCCAGGCCAGGTCGCTCCTGTTTTGCAGCCCTCTAGTGGAAGGAACCAGAGCTCCTTATTCTGTGAGGCTCTGAGGTGGTCTGTATGAGATCTACCCACCTCAAACAGTGGTCTGGCCCCTCTCCTGGGATCGCTGGCCGTCCTGCTTGCCTCTCACACATGCCAGGAGGCATTACTCAGTTCTCCTATCTGCCAGGCTCCTGCAGGGCGTAGCCCCTCTGCTAGCCCCGTCTCTTCTGTTGCTCTGTTGCAAGCTCACCTGTAACGTGACCACCAGCCCTCCCCTGTCCCTCCTGCCCACTCTCTGCCCCACCACCACTCCTTCTGTTTTCTTCATTGCACTTTGCAGGATCTGCAACCATCTGGTTGTGTGAGTTGGTTGCATGACATCACTTGATCCAATCTGCTCTTCTTGGCCCCTTGAGCCCAGAGACTTCTCCTGGTGGCCAACAGGAGGGAGTTGCTGTGCAGAAGGTGGAGATGGCCTTTTGTTTAAAGACCTCCTGTCTCCAGCTTGCTTGTTAGATTTCCATTTTCTGTATTCACATCCTTAGCAGGATGAAGCGGGACTCTGTTTGTTTATTGCTTTAATGGGTCGTTTAAATCTTTTATGGCGTACAAGAAAAACCGTTTGTTGGGTAAAACCTTCCATGTGATTTTGATATGAGATCATAACATAATTGGGATTTTGTTTTCATTGAGTGAGAAGTGTTTAGGTCAGATCAAATATGTATGGTACATTCTGGAACAGAATCACTCATGGGCTTTCTCAGTAACACCAAACTCAGCTCTGATTTCTTACATCATCTCCTTTTACATCTATCTCTCTGGAGATAGATTGAATTGCACAGATATATTTCCATGGAAAATGGAATTTGTGTTTGGAGTCTCATCCATGTGGAACATTAACTGCGGTGTGGTGGTTCGCAAACATTCTTGCCCAAGGACCCTAAAAGTTTTCAGCAACCATCTATCCAAAAAGTTATTACATTTCTAAAACTTATCATCAACCCCAAAGAGCTTTTGTTTATGTGGGTTGTATCTGTCAATGTTTATTCATTTAAAGTTAAAAGCGAAATGAAAAAATATATATGTTAATTTATGTAAAATAATAAACTTACGAAAGATTAATATAAATAGAATTTTTAGTGAAAAATAACTATGCTTCCTAGAATTAAAAATATCTAGAGAGAAGAACAGCCTTGTTTTATGTTTGTGGTAATCTCCTTAATGCCTAGCCTAATCAAGGGCGCCTGGATTTTCCTCTTCTTCTGCACCCCGTCTGCTATGATATGTTGTTTTGATTGAGATATATGAAGAGAATGCAACCACATTCAGATTTGTAGTCAGAAAAAGGACCTCACAAGTTCTTGAGGAACCCTGGGGTTCCCTGGGACCACACATTGAGAGTCGTAGCTCTCCTGCCTCAGACAGGGTGCCCCTGGGACTCTTTCTTTCTCTATACATTGCCCCAACCCGTGCATAGCCCGGCTCATGTTTTTTGCCACTTTTTCTGAGGAAGACATATTTATGTTTCACATGAGTCTATCAGGGCAAGGGATCTTGGAGAAAGAAGTCAATACACGGTGACATTATAACAGCCTCCCCTTCTCTTCTCTCTCCAAAAACTTTTTCCTCTTTTCCTTGAGCCCATTTCCAAGGTACCTGCCTTTGCAGGCCAGCCCTCTGTTAAAGACGTGGGCAGATAAAGCATTGACTGATGGTTTAAGTGACAGGGTTAAGACGCCCGTATTTTTCTCACGGGCGTCTCTGTGAGTCTGATGAGGAGCATGAAGTCACAACTATGGTGCCTCCGTCTGGACAATCCATTTCACTGGAAGATTTAGGTGGGGAGGATGGTTATATAAAAATGATCATGAGTAGGTGATGGAGAACATGACAGAATTGGCATGAATTCTTAAGATGAAATTCTTGAGTCTGCCTTCATGCCAATGAGCAGATTATCCTTCCAAGTACCTCTCACCATAGGTATTTAAGTTGCCTCTAATGCCCAATTCCATTTCATGAGCACTCATTGCCTGTTTAGTAAGAATTGGAACTATTCTGTAGGGTTATGGAGAGAGATTTGAGGATTTCTTAGAGCGCTTTGCATATGCTATGGGAGTACTAGTTCTCAGATACATATTCTCCATGCTTTTTCCTTTGGGCAAGAACTGTTAGTGCTCATTTATGATTTTTTCCACTCCTTAAACTACTGCTCACATACCTTTCCCATGATATTGTCATGTAGTGCCAGCTTCCCAAGAATACTTCATTTAATATTCTCCATAAATGACCTTAGATATGCATGACACATTTTCTCCTGGTGCTTAGTGTTCCATTGCGGAACGTGGACATTTCCCCAATGCAGTCACACAGCTGAATGTGCTCGGGGCCACCACCCAAGAAAGAGGAATATGACTCCCCCAAACATTGTTGGAGAAAGCGTCTGGCAGAGGAGGAAGGGCTGATGTGGGAGTTATTAACTCGAAGGCGTTCACGGTTGGCGAGGACTGGATGAGTGTCGACGTGCAGGGCTTTACTTCTGAGCCTGGCCTGGGTCGTTTCTCAAGACATGGTAGCTCGTAACTCTAGAAGCACACATGGCCAAATAGTTATCAGACCTTAATAACCAATGGCTCCAAGAGATACAGCTATAGCCTTCTCAGCACTGTGTCTCTATTCATGCCAAAGTGTAAAACTGAAAAACTGAAATGTCAGTTAAGAGAAAAAGGTATTTTATGCCATTTGCACACAGCTATGCATTTGCATTTATTTAATATCTTCCATTTTTCCAATCAACCTGCCTCTTCTTCAGCTTTCTCATTAATTTCTACGTTTGTACCTCATATTTCTGTTTTTTATTTTTTTATATTTTTCTACCCTCACTTCTCCTTAATATATTTGGAGAGATAATGTGGATATTCTATGTATTGGTTTCCTGGGGCTGCCATAACAAATTGCCACAAACGTGGGGGCTTAAAATAACAGGAATGTATCCACCCCCCCATCCTGGAGACCAGACGTCTGAGATGAAGGGCCGCGCTCCCTCCGGAGGCTCCAGGGGAGGGTCCTTCCTGCCTCTTCCAGCTTCTGGGGCTCCAGGCGTCTCTGGGCTGGTGGCTGCCTCCCTCCGTCTCTGCCTCTGTCTCCACGTGGCTTCTCCTCTGTGTCTGTGTCTCCTCTTCTGTCTCTGATGAGGACACTGTCATTGGATTTAGGGCCACCCTCATCCAGGACGCCCTCATCTGCAACCTTCACTTAATCACATCTGCAAAGACTCTTTCTAAAATTTGGTCCCATTCACAGGTTGTGGGGTAAGAACATGGATACATCTTTTTGGAGGCCACCAATCCACGCACTGTGCTCAGTTTTTCTTTAAAAACATCAGGAATTGATTTGGAATCAACAGAATTATTTTTGTTCCTTCTAATTTGCCATCATCAATGAGGATATCATTAGAAAGCAACATTTTATAAGATATTTCCATGGCTTGTTTCACTGAATTAGAAGATCTAGTTCTAAAAAAGCTAATTAGAGGGTATGCTTTTGGGTTGAGGGTCTTTGCCTTGGGCAAATGAGGAAATATCAAGAATATAACTTGTGCTTAGGGACATGTAAGTATCTAGTATATATTTGTTGGTTAACTTCTAGATTTTTCTTGGTCTTTGCACTTTTAAGTATATTTCCTCTCTAGCTTATTTCAGATTATCTTTTCCATTTCCACATCTTAGAAAAGACAGGTCTGTTGACACTCTGTATCAGGCATACAATCTTTACTTCTGGTAACACTGCCACAGACAGCAAGCAAATAGGTGTGGCTGTGTGCCAATAAAACTTTATTTACAAAACCAAGCTGGGGGCCAGTTTGCCAAATCCTGGGCTACAGTTTTGTTGCCTAAAGGCTAGAGCTGGAAACCAGCCTTGCTGTCACTCTTGTCCCTAAGTGTGACCCAGGTGAAGAATACAAAGACATTTACTCATGGTCTAGTACGGGTGACATTTTTAATTTCGTACAAGCAACCACAATAGTTGGTCAAATGGTCTCGTGGTCCTTGCCTCCTCCCTGCTGGACCTTCCTCTGCACTTGGGCGCCTCTCAGAACCATCCCTTCTTGGAGTCCCAAGATCCCGATGACTCCAGTGTGTGAAGAAAGTGCGCGTGTGTGAAATAAATTATGATCTGCCCTTGTCCAGCAGAAATAGTGATTGTGACGAAGTAGGGATTTTTCTGTACTTGCTGTCCACTAAAAAGGGATGTTTCTTTTTCTAACAGGTTCCCTCCGTTTTTTGATGACAACCCATTTGGCATTTATCAAAAAATTCTTGCAGGCAAAATAGATTTCCCCAGACATTTGGATTTCAGTGTAAAGTAAGTAAACCTTTCCCTTGTCATTCGGTGTATTTTTCTTTAAAGCATTTAAAATCATGGTCAGAGCGTCAGCTGAGCAGGATGCCACCTTCAATGGGCTGTGCTCAAGCGCTTTTGGGAAGTCATCTTTTCCGCAAAAGGGGAAAAGATTTTCATTTTCTATTTTAATGATTCTTAATCTTGTAATGACTCCTGGTCATAGTTCTGCCCTTTGAGATAAATGGTATTTACAATTAGCAAATAAAGGCGTTTGTTGTCATATTTAGTAAGAGAGCCATTGTGGTATTTCACAAGAAAGATCCGCCTCCTGGAGGATTTGCAGTTGGCAGAAGTGTTGATGAGTTTAGCAGAATTTATCTCTTCTCTTCTGCTTAAATTATTCTCATTCTTAAAGTCTTTTATCATGCTAAAATTTTGAGTGATGAGCATGTTGCTTCAAGAACTTTTGCATTGCTTCAATCTTTGTAACCTTGAGTATGCATTTCTTTAAATTTGTGGCAATGGGGGAAAAAAAACAAGTTTTAAAAAATATAAGAATGGGGCCGGCCCCGTGGCTTAGCGGTTAAGTGCACGCGCTCCGCTACCGTCGGCCCAGGTTCCGATCCCGGGCGCGCACCGATGCACGGCTTCTCCGGCCATGCTGAGGCGGCGTCCCACATACAACATCTAGAAGGATGTGCAACTATGACATACAACTATTTACTGTGGCTTTGGGGAAATAAAAGGAGGAGGAGGATTGGCAATAGATGTTAGCTCAGAGCCGGTCTTCCTCAGCAAAAAGAGGAGGCTTAGCATGGATGTTAGCTCAGGGCTGATCTCCCTCACAAAAAAAAAATAAATAAATAAAATAAAAAATAAAATAAATAAATAAAAATCTTCAAAAAATATAAGAATGTTTTTGGTTTTCCAGATCCCTTTATCCATCTGGTCACCTTTTAGCCATTTTCCACCATAATGAGTCCTGAATTCTAGTTGTTTCTGTGTATTTTCCAGATGAGTTGATAGGGTCACAAAATGGAATTAAATGCGTTTAATTGAGAACTAAACTTTTCTTGCTAATTTTTTTTTTTTTTTTTTTTTTTTTGGTGAGGAAGATTAGCCCTGAGCTAACATCTGTTGCCAGTGTATGTGGGACGCCTGCCACAGCATGTCTTGATGAGCGGTGTGTAGATCCGCGCCCAGCGTCCGAACTTGCAAACTTAACCACTACACCACTGGGCCGGCCCCTTTATTGCTAATTTTTTAAAAGTATCCCGTGGAAATTGGGTTCAGGGAAAACTTATTTCACGACTGTGGATCAGCTACTGGGTCCATTGGCTGCATCAAGTTGCTTTTCTTAGTGGTGAATGTACCTCACCCTAACCAGAGATTCTCAGTCCGAACAGAAGACAGTATTTCTCTTGGCTTGTGTTGTGTTTGACACACCAGGCAGGTTTTCAAAGATTTTAGCAAGAAAAGGAGGCTCCATTTGAAAAATAAGTCATCTAGGGACCGGCCCGGTGGCATAGTGGTTAAGTTTGTGTGCTCCACTTTGGCGGCCCAGGATTCACAGGTTCAGATCCCAGGCGTGGACCTACACACCGCTCATCAGCCATGCTGTGGTGGCCAACCACGTACAAAACAGAGGAAGATTGGCACAGATGTTAGCTCAGGGACAATCTTCCTCAAGCAAAAAGAGGAGGATGGGCAACAGATGTTAGCTCAGGGACAATCTTCCTCAAGCAAAAAGAGGAAGATGGGCAACAGATGTTGCCTCAGGGCCAATCTTCCTCACCAAAAAAGTAAAATAAAATAAGACATCTAGAAGGGACACCCTATCCAGTGAATGGTAAGACAGTTGAAGTGTGAAGGGAGATACAACACTCAAAAGTTTACTTGCTCTAGAAGGAAACGAAAAATATTGTACAGGATTTCTCTCCCAGAGTCCAAATTCCATAGAATTGAGTGCCATTATTTCAAATGGACAGCAAAACGCTTTTAAAATGGAGTTATATATTTATCAACAATTCGCCAATGATTAGATTGGATTCAAATCTGCTTACACCCATTGGCAGATGTGCCAGTTGATGGTGACCTTAGACCTCCTGGAATTCTGGGTAAATCTGTGGGGTGTGAACATCTGCTGCCGTGGCTCAGACACCCATTGGCGGTACGCCGTCCGTGGTGGGAGTGACTTAGGTGTTGCCATTGGTGCACTTGCTTCAGGTGAAATAAGCGTGGACCCTCTGTCTCTTGCATTCTTGAAATCAGCTTCTTTCTCCTGTAGGTCCTGAAGTTCTCCTAAAGGTCTTAGGCAATTCAGAAGCTCATCAGATTTATTCCCCTTTTTCTTGTGAGCAATGACTTAAACTCTTCCAGGAGAAGTTTCCCCAGAGAAGGGACGATCCATACAATCTTACGTCATTTATTCAGTCCGTGATATGAAAGGCTCAGAGCAGTCATATGAACTTATTGAGTAGGTTTCCAACGTCTTGTGGAAAGGAGGATATTACAGAAATAGAACAAACATAAGCTTATGTTAAGTCTGGTCTTCAGCCACGTCCCCTGCTTTTTCTCATTGTTTATTTTGAAGAGACAGCCAGCAATGGCTGCCCTGGAATCCTTTGGTCTGAAGTCCTCCTCCTCTGAGCATCCCCAGGTCCCTCCCTCCAGTCCCGGAACCCCCATATCTCCATTGTGGGGGCTCAGCAAGAGCAGGAACCTGGGACCCTTTGATGCAATTGATGATTGCAAATGGTGATTGAGTTTAAACATCACTTCTTTCCATTATTGGCTAGATCTTAATGAGTTGGCTGAGAAGCAGGACCCTCGTGAGTCATTTCTTATCCAAATTACTGTCATTGGGTGGCCGTGATGGTAGAATTTTGACTCTCAGTTTCTTAACTTCTTATGCCGGTTCGCACAACCTCCGCATTTGACCACGTCAACTTGTTGCGTAGGAACATGTCTCTTTGGATTGAGACTTAAGATTCCTTATAGAAATATACATAATTGAAAAGGAAAAAAAAAGCTTTGGGGCTTGTTGCCAACTTGGTAGAACTAATATTTACGAGTGTTTCTCCTGTCTGAAAGCATCTGATCAGAGAGAAGCCAGCCGGCACCAGGAAAGGAAATAAGATTTAGAATTTCAGACACAGTGAATCAAGGGATTGTCGGTGGACACAGAGCCTGTCCCAGGATCGAGGCACCCTCTCGCAGTCCCAGACACTTCCAGAGTTCCTATATGGCTCTGCCATATTGAGTGGCCCCTTCTCATCTGCACCCTTTGCTTTCAGGACCGAGCTGTTTTGCATGGATTTGATTTTGTATTTTAAACAAACCTTCATTCTTCTATAACCCCACTATAGGCAACTTTAAGTATATGCACTCCTGGGTAAATAATAGGGAAAAAGAAGGAAAAAACCGCATTTATTTAGGGTTGTTTTGGGAGGATGGTGTTTGGTGATCTTGCTTTGTTTTTTGGAATGTCAAAATAATGAAGGAGAAACTCAACGAGTACTGGCAAGGTATCTAATTTTTCAGTGCTCGTATATTCCTGTGACCTGCTCAAGAGTCTTGTCTCCATATTAGACGGATACAAAATCCAAGTCTTGGGTGAGCCAATGTTCTCAGATTTTCACTTAGAGACAGAGATGCTGGGAAGTCTGGAAGTTCTCCCATCCTTCTTCAGGATGCGTAGCGTTGGGAAACTCTGTGGTTACAGCTGTTTCTTGCCGAAGTTTGAGATCATTAGGAACCTGGTTGAGTCACAGTCTCGGCGTGAGGGACCTTGGGTCCCTGGACCCTCATATTTACCTCCGTGGGCTGGGGTTGTCAAAGGACTCATTGAGCCTTCCCGGCTGGTCACAGAGCCCAGGGCATGGCCTGAGTCTGGGTTTGTGCTCCTCACCCCGGGGCATAATTTACGTCAGGAAACTTAAATGCTTAAAGCTTGGTAACAGGTTGTTGACTGTCCTGGGGGACATCCATATAAGCTTGAAATGCCTGGACATTATCATACATAATGGAGTCTACCTGTTATATATGAACACACACATCCACTTCTTATACTTTTTACTTCCTCAACTGCTCCTCTTAGAACTAGTGTATCCTCTGGAAGTCTTAAAACTTACCTTGAACTTCCCATCCTGATTGGACTGCCTTGCTGTATTCGGACAGGGTCTGTTATTTAGGAGGATAGTTTATGTGTACCAGCAGACTTTAAAAGAATCGCAATAATTTGTGCGCTTAACGGGAACGCGAGCATTGTAAAACAAGAATCCCATAAATAAGTAAACCCACAGGGCAGAGCGTGACCGTTTATTTTGGTAAAAGCAGAAGTCTTCTGTTTGGCAGGGACAGCCTGATGGGTATATTTTAAGTGAAACATCACAGTCCCCAGGGCAGGCACATATTTTCTCATGCGGGTATTCAAAACCCCCTTTTCTGTCGATTTAATCAACCTTTTCCCCTTAGCTCAGTGCCTGTGTGTGCACAGCCCAGCACTGCAAAAATTATTTAGGAACCAATAACGGTAAGAAAGTGCCAGAAAATGTTTAGCCCAAATGAAAATTGAACCGCTGGCCAGATGCGTGCATAGTGGGTAGATAATATCGTGGTTGACATGCTGTCTTTGCTCGCGTCCATATCAACATATTTTTGCCTCCTTCCCCCGTCTAGAGACCTCATTAAGAAACTGCTTGTGGTTGACAGAACAAGAAGATTGGGGAACATGAAGGTCAGTGAGTGTGTCCATATATAGTAAGTTGTATCCTTTATAAGTTCTTATCATTTATATTTATAGATACCAACAAAAACATTCGTGTTTAGTCGTTGGCCAAATTTGAAGTCTGGGTTCCTGGGCATGCAGAATCAAACTGGGTCTACATCCCGTCTCCTCTTCTCTCCAAACGAGCAAATGACTCCACAGAGATGCAGAAGTTATTAGTCATGATTTTGTTTATTTGTTCTTATTTTTTTAATCGGCATTATTGAGATATAATTCAGGTACCATACAATTTACCCATTTAAAGTGTACAGTCTAGTGGTTTTTAATGTATTTGCAGAGTGTGCAATCATCACCACAGTCAATTTTAAAGAACATTTTCATTACCTCAAAAAGATACCCCATACCCTTAAACTGTGGCTCCCCTATCTTTACATCCTTCCTTGCCCTAAGCAACCACTAACTATTTTCTGTCTCTGTATATTTCCTTATTCTGAGCCTTCGTATAAATGAATCCTACAGTATGTGACCCTTCGCATCTGAGTTCTTTTCATTCAGGATGATGTTTTCAAGGTTCATCCATGTTGTAGCCTGTGTCAGTGCTTCGTTCCTTTTCATGACTAATATTCCATTGTATGGATGGACCACATCCTGTTTACCATTCATCTCTTGATGCACATTTGGGTTGTTTCCACCTTTTAGCTATCATGATAGTGCTGCTATAAACGTGGTATACATGTTTGTGTGTGAATTAATCATTGTTTTAGAAGTTGTACATGTATGGTTTTCATAAACTTTTCATGTGAAGGGAAATATATTTGAGGGACCAATTGTTGCCTAAATGGTGTGGTATCTTATACACGTTTTGGTTCTGTTTTGGCACCCTTGAATTTGAGAGAATCCATGGACATCTTCGCTATTTCTAGTTCTGGACCTTCGTGGAGGGACTCACACATGGACCAGTGCACTGACCCTGTCTGTTGCAATCTTGAGAGACACATAGACCCATGGACAAGAGTTGGTTCCCACAGATCTCTTGAGCATCTCTGTTTATGTGGGTGTATTTGTTTCCTGTAACTGCTGTAACAAAGGTCCACAAACTGAGAGATTAAAACAACAGGAGTTCATCACCCTCCCCCAGTCCTGGAGACCAGACGTCTGAGATGAATGGGTCGCAGGGCCGCGCTCCCTCCGGAGGCTCCAGGGGAGGGTCCTTCCTGCCTCTTCCAGCTTCTGGGGCTCCAGGCGTCCCTGGGCTGGTGGCCGCCTCCCTCCATCTCTGCCTCCGTCTCCACGTGGCTTCTCCTCTGTGTCTGTGTCTCCTCTTCTGTCTCTGATGAGGACACTGTCAGTGGATTTTGAACCCAGTGACCTCATCTTAACTTGTTTACATCTGCAAAGACCCTATTTCCAAATAAAGTCACATTCATGAGTACTGGGGATTAGGACTTCAACGTGTCTTTGCTGGGGGGCGGGCACAGTTCAGTCCATAACAGTGGCCAGATTTGTCCTTCACATTATTCATGGACTAATATGTTCAGGTCTCTAAGGAGGGGATTGAAAACTAACTTACTGGACATTACTGGTGAAGGAAACACATTTATGATACGGATCAGGTGTTCACCCGTTACTGACATTTTATGACAAATAGGGTGAAAATTATTGGAGAGACCCACAGGTAGGCCTAAAGATAGAACCTTGCTGACATGACTTGCCATTTCATTTCTTTACATTGCCTCATTAGAAATCATGTCATCAATAAGAGCTGTTATAGCGAGTCTGTAACTTGAAGAGCCAAGAATCCAGCAACATCACATCTCTATGGCATGTCAGAGCGTGCATGATAAGGGCTGTGGAATTGTAGCATGGGGGAGCCTCCAAGACCAGAAGCCCCCCCCCCCCCACTTCCGTCACCTTAGGTTCTTTTTTTTTTCTGGTTTAATAATTTTTTTTAATTGATGTTCTAATAGTTTTTAACATTGTGAAATTTGGG